AGAATGTACGGGCTCCCGAAGCGTGTCCAAAGTCACATTCTTCCAGGCGAAGCGTAGTCACTGTCTTAGCTCGTCTAGTGTTTTGGGGGCTGGATCTTCGTGTGTTGTCTCGTCTACGATAATCGAGATGGTCTCTAGGGGGTTTACATCACGTGAGTTTGCCGGCCGGTCCTCCTTTATTATAAAGTTGTCAAATCCTTCTGACACATGCTTGCGTGAAGTGTGCACCGTCTTTTCCTCTTCAAGACTTTCTAACTTTTTTTGGTAACTTATCCCCATACCGTTGTGCTCGAAACTTTTATCGATATTCTTTTACCTTTCTGTTTCATTACACATATACTTACAGCTTTTTCGATAAGATTTCTCACACATTTTGTGAAAAAACGGCCGTCCACTCGTTGATTTCTCTTTTAAGGTCTTTACTTTTGCCCACTTGTTCGGTCATCGTTCAGACTTCTTCAACAATTTGACAATTTGTTTTTTTGACTGAATGGCTGTAAGAATAGATGCCTGAGCTCTAGCACAAACAGTGTAGGCCTTCATTTTCATGAAGGAGTAGAGAAAATAAAAGGAAACGATAAAAATACCAAAATAGAAAACCTACAAAATGGGCAAGAAACGTATGGCGGGAAAAACCTCGCGTACACGTGCAGTTGCGGCAAAAATCTTAAAAAATTATAATTTCTTCAAATTTTGGTTTGAAATCGCTTTGAACGTTTATTTAGATAAATTTCTTACTTTAATCAGTTTACATTTGCCTAAAGAAGTGTTAAATGCTTTGCTCAAAATACAATTTACAATCGGAACGAACTTTTGAAACACCCTGTACATTCTCAGTGATAAAATATCTTTGGGACTCCATTTTGTTTAAGATGTTAAGCAATTTCAAGGATAGGAGAATGGTCTCTTACTTTGTCTGCTTCAAGTAAAGTTAGCCAGGAGTCTAGCTTTGAAGACTGACTAAATGATCAATACCCTATTTTTGTGTATGATAAACTTTTTATGTATGATAAACTGTTCTTTAGAAGACTCCTTATCTTTGCTCTTCCTTCTAGAAATGAATTTTTTCTAATCGATTTGAGTATTGCGATATGCAACACATAACTGTAATCATAAAACAGTACCTTTTACAGCAAATCTATTCATTTTTACAGACCCTCCGATCAAAAGGCAGTACTGTAAAACAACCATGTTAACTTCCATTCAAAAACATTTCTAGTATTTTCTGAAACTGAGAAGGGACACTTGACAGACAAGTTAATGAAATAGTTTACTTTCATTTCACAGAAATACCTATTTCCATATATGCAGTAATTTTTATTTAGTAGTAAGTTACAAATAATAATTATAGATTAGACAAAAACGTATTATTTTCAAACTACCAGACTATGATTATCGAGAAAACATTAGTGATTTACCTGAAGTTAACCATCCGCCATCTTTACCACATCAGCTAGGGAACTGGTGCAAACGGTTTATTTCGAGTCCCATTCCCCCAAGATAACAAAACTGCAAAGACTTTCTTTCTTCTTAAATTACCTTTGCTAAAATAGACTACATAGCTCATTATTGAGACGAATTTAGTTTCACTAAAATCACCGAAATTGCCCGGTAACATCAAAATTAATTATCACGCTAATAAGGTGCCTTATATGGGCCATCATGTAAAGTCTGTAAAAGAGGGCATATTCAATAAAAAAGTTTCTACTGGAAAAATGCTACCACACATTTTCCAACTTTATGGATCTATACCTTGCCAAAAACTACGAAGAGAATTTTTCTCCTCATATGGTACCAGTTACCAAACTTTTGGGGTCTAGCTCATGGACTAATACATGGTATCCTTAAAGTGCCTCCTCCTAGTAGTATTGTTTTGTTTGTATTGCCGACTACGAAGAACAACCCTGATAATTGTGGGTAACATGATTGTCATCATTTTTTAAAATTAAATCAACTTTGGTAACAACTAAGAATGGGATCAAGTCATGGAGATACCAGGCTGCCCGACTATGGAACACTATTCCAAATAATTTAAGAAATATTGATAGTTACCGCACTTTTAAACGTGGACTCAAGGAGCTCGACCTTGCAAGTTTATAGTCCCTTTTGCAATTTAACTTAGTTTTTGTTAGTATTTAAGTATTATATAGTTTCTATAATCTTACAGGAGTTTCCATGTACTGTATCATTTTAAACACTTTTGTATAGTTGTAAGTTTATTGATTCTTATTCGCAATTTAACCTTATTTTTCGTAGTATATAAGTTTAACAATTTTATAATTTTATGCAGTTTTTTCCACATGCTATATCATTTTAAACACTTTTATACAGTTTCCAGGCTTGTTTTTAGTTTTGTGACTGACCTGTAAACTAGCCTTATAGCAAAGTGTTAGTCACGTTATTAAAGTATGTAAGTATGTATGGCGTTGTTTTTGCATTTCAATCATATCTTTTGCCTCAGAGAATTTTTTAATCTTCGGGTGAAACGATGAGAGAACCTTACTGAGAAGGTTGCAGGAACACGTCCACAAAAGTAAAAATAAAACACAAACCGCGGCAACAAACACGATGAAACAACGCCGGCTGCAAAAAAAAAAGATTTTAAAGACTTGACGTTTCGTATGTAACAACATACATCTTCAGAAGTGACGATTGAAAAGATTACAGTAAAATTTAAACATCTAGATAAAGACTGGAACCTAATAAACAGGTATAAACAATCGCTGTAGTTCTTAAGCAGTATGACCAGGAGACTTGAAATTCGTTAAAAGCTATGAAAAAGACCTTACTCGCTACAACAATGTATCACTGAATATTGGTTTCTTACAGCGATGTAAGCTTTTTCACATTTTCTCTAAAATCTCATACCGTGAGCGAAGAACGCTTCCTATTCCCATTTCAGATATTTTTTGGGGGCCAACCAGTCCTACTAGCGAATAATTGTATCCATAGTTTTGTTTACAATTCAAAACCTCGCCAAAATTTCCTTGGTAGGCCCTGGAAATTGGTCCCGAAAAATACTTATAACGCCACGAACTCGCAAAAGTCAAGTCCATGAATCCACCAATAGAAACGCGACCGTTAATGTGTGTAACCTTTCTTTACATTTGATAAACATATGACGCAAAATGTGACGCAGGTCTTTCCACAGCGACTCCTCATATGGAAAAATTAATTGATTGAGACTATTTTTAGCCTAAAATTGAAAAAAAAAATGAATGCACGAACTAAGGACACTAACAGAAAAACCTGTCAAGGGCGCTTATAATTGGGAACCATTGTAATTGTCACTTACAGATTTGAAGTGGTCGTTGGGATGCATTTCAGAAATTCAAAATCGACGACTTTAACCTTGTTAGAACAGTCACAATTGTTTTCAACTTCCTCATTTTTAATCGAACTACTGTATGAGCATGGTGTCTTGCAATCTGAAAAAAAGAATAAAAGAAACTCAGATGATCGCTTAACTTTAATTAAGGAAGGTAAAGCTACAATGAGGGACAAAAGCGTTGAGACACTTCCGTAAAATGGCCCCTTTTTGCGTAGTGGACATACCTATCCCCTTCCCCTGTCTACCCCAACCCCTTCCCCCCAAAATCAATGTTGTGTTTTGGACCCCCAAGTCTTTCTTTTACTTCAGACAACATTGATTCGGGGGATGAGGGGATTTACGGCATTTAAAAGGAGTGAACTAATAAATGAATTAAATGTTTGATAAAAGCACCTGTTTCAAACAAGTGAGTCAACTGCTTTTGTCCCTGATTGTAGCTACAAGTTTTCCGGTGTCTATAAAACTTATCCCTTTCGTCTACGACGTCATAACACAGGCAACGTTGACCTACTTTTTTAACCTTGGGGGATTACTGAGATGTTTTTTTCAGCTGTATTCTGACTACAAGTTCCTATATACGTTCCATAAAGTTGGTGCTCACCATTCTTCCACACCACGTTTCGAAACGTTTGAAATAAGAGGGGAACCAGAACGGCAATTCTGGCCTCGACTGGTCTGCCGTAGAAGTAAAGCAGTGTGTTTTAAGGTGATTCCTTGGTATAAGAACCTAAGATAGATTGTAATGCACTAATGTAACAGGTCAAGAAGATGATAAAAACGTAAAAAAAGTGGGGGTCACCGTGCTCTTTTTCACGTCACAATGCTAACAAATACAGCTATTTAGGACCCTTTGGCCCTAAACCGCGCGCAGAAACTAAACTAGACAAAAACAGATATTTTTTCGATGATGCATTTGGTATCGCACAGAGTTTGACTTAAATGTACTGTTTATCTACTAGCGTACCAAAAAAATACCTTCTGATACCCATGTTTTTACTTTGCTCTCCAAAGTAGACTTAATTTGGACACGCGCTATTCGACCCGTTATAGCTCAATCCGCACAATTTAGTAAAATTTCTTTCATTCAACTTCATTTTAACAATGTTGCTTCAGATGCACTTTTTCACGGCGGCCATTTTGTTTTGGGCAGTAGGAGATACGCAGTGCAAAACAAGCGAATCACCTTAAACCATATTCAAATACATTCTCCTGCCCCCTAAGTACATTTGACACTCATGGACAGTATAAATTTAAAGTTTATAGTTGGTTGGAATCCAGCAATCATAAAACATACAAGGTAGCATTGCGGAACGAATTCTAACTTGAAGGAGCTAATACGCCTGCACCAGCAAGCCTTTAAATTGCAACAAATACGGCCGTTGTACAAGTTTTACCGTGACGCTGTTAATAAAGAACGGAAACTATGTAAAGCAAACTATGGCTCTGACCTTTACTGGGTTTGTTTTTAAACCGTCATGGGAGAACACGTGTGCATTGAACTTCACCTCCTCACCTTGACCTCTTCAATTTGAGATTGTAATCTTTGGAACGTTGCAAAACAGCCCTCAACCGTGTATAATATTCCACCGCATTTCGACCAGGTATGATTATGTCACTTCCTCGCATTCTTTTACTTTCGGTCTCTCAAAGTGGCAACAAAACCTCAACACTACCACTGACAGAAAAAGCTGCCATTTCTGCTTTCATCTTGACAACATTTCGCCGAGATTTTGCGTCTAAGCCAATGACCTTGCTGGAAATCGACCACGTCATTTTTGTCGTGGGGCATGCGTAGACATTTTTTGCCAGTGAAATATAACAAGAGCATCTCGTTCCCAGAGTTCGCGTTGCTTTGTCCAGCCGAATGGGCAACACGGACCTCTGGGGTAATCCGTTTGCCTGTGACAGGATTATTGGTTTTGCCTCATCTGCGCAATCGTGAACCAATAAAAGCAATAAACTAACAAAGAAACTGGATTTCATGAGGTGATTCAGATTTTTTTCGGCAAATTAGGACATACCGAATTACGGAAAAGCTGCATGATGCATTAAGGCCCTTGTTTAATCCCGAAGCGATTAAAAATGTCGGCTATTATGTTGCTGTAAGACATCAGACGTTGGTACGTATTGATGCGAGCTGGTCCGTTTATTCAGCTGATTTATTTATTTGTAAAAAAACTGACGAATGCCACGTGGCTTTCGAAGTTTTGCTAAAGAAGGAAGGAAAAAGGGCTAACATCGCACAAGATGTGAGGAAGGTTGGCCTTTGTGGACTTCAGTAGGTTGGATATACACTCACTCACTCACTTGGTCGCCCGAAGGCGGACAACCACTAGATCTTTTCACAGCCTCTTATCAGCCATCAGTACAGCAATCTCACTTGCTCCGAATGCCCCAGTATTCCTCTTAAGAGTGTCAATATAGGTAGTAATCGCTCTTCCTCTCCCGTTGGATATACAAAAACGAAATTTAGAATGAGGTTTAATAATAATAAAACTGGCAACAGACGCCACTGAAACTTAGATCACGTGCAGCGGGATCAGGATGATCTCATCTATAAGCATTTGTGGGGGGAAGGATGTCACGGATTGGAGGAAACAAACACACCTATGACCCACCGAACAACCACACAAATAAACGAAACCGCAAGAGAGCTCGCCACATCACATGGTGGGACCCTTCTTGGAATTCAAGTGTCAAAACCAACTTAGAAAGAACATTCCTCAACCCTGTGGACAAGTGTTTTCGAAGAAACCATCCTTGTCACAAGATCTTTAACAGACACACGCTTAAACTCACCTATTCCTGCATGCCAAACATGAAATTCATCATCGCGTCACATAACAAAACAGTCCTCTCCAATTGCTCGTCAACATTAGCAGCAGAACCCTTTAAACAATGCAACTGCAGAAAGAAAGATCATTGTCCCCTCGAAAGACAATGCCTCACAAACAAAATTGTGAATCAAGCTACTGTCACAACCGGAATGACGACTTAAACTTAAGTAGGACTGACAACTAACGTCACAGAACGATATAGACTGAACTATCCAAACACATTTGAACCCTCAAAAACGCAAAGAAACCCTTCAACGTGAAATGGAGAATACTAAGAAAATGCAAACTATACAATATTAGTATAATTACACCAATGATTATCGAAAACAGAGCGCCGGGCTATGATTGGCTAGGAGCTTCGCTTCATCCCGTTATAATCACCGCGTGGTGATTATAACATTGACTATAACATTAACCGCAGAACCCGTTAAACAATGCAACTGCAGAAAGAAAGACCAATGTCCCCTCGAAAGACAATGCCTCACAAACAAAATTTTGAATCAAGCTACTGTCACAACCGGACTCCGTGGACTTTCATTACGCCTCAGACAGCAAGGCTTTGAAACCAATCTACTTCATGGTCTTATCTTCGAGAAGTATGCGAATATATATAATATATCTATATCTATGTATATAAGTATCTGCGAATAGTCACCTCGACTTCGTCTCGGTGACTATTCGCCGATATTCACGTCGCCTTCGGCGACTAATTGTTAAATATTAGCAAAAAAATGTAACCTGTTCCTGAGTCAAACGTTTTTCATAATCTGTAAAAAAGAACTATGTAGCCTTAACAAACGTAACGAGTTAGCATGTTCATTTCACCACAGGAATAAATTAATACTCAAGAACTTAATGATAACTGTCACACAGTAACGTTATCCGTCATTCCTCTTTTGTGTACCTTATTTCAACTATTTACAAGGTGTCCCAAAAGTTCGTTCCTCTGCTGTATAAGCCTGTAATCCAGTGCGATTGGACTTGATAAGCAAATCGTTTAAATAAAAGTCTGGTTTTTTTAATCTAATTTAATATGTCATACTTGTTGGGCCTTCTTTCGACTCGAATTTTCGATTTGTGTACTTTCGCGCCAAAAGTGGGTGTGCGCTAGTATATTTCCCTCCACAAATTTTTGTATCTTGTAGCCCAAATTGCTCGAATGCCTTCCTCCTTTTTTGTGAATATCATGAAAGATAAAGCAAAAACGCTCAGCTAGGTGAAAGCAAAACCAGGTATACTTCGATCTACTGCTTCGTCAGATAAAGAAATTGTTAAAACCTGGAAAAATCCGAATCCAAAAAATTGGGGGTGGTAAAATGGTCATCGAGAAATGAAGGTTTTGAAAACAAGAAAAAAAGAGGAAAAACGAAAGTCATGAATAAAGCAGCTAAAACTAATTTTAAAGAAGGCTAGGTACAACAGAGGAACTCATTAAGGTAGTTCTTAAAACAGTTATCAAGCTATGTCTGGAGCAGATTCATGAAAATAAAGCGAAGGTTGGAGGTCCCTAAGTTTGCAAAAAACTAGCTTTGCTCAGTTCGTCAAGCAACGTTAACGCTCAGCTCTTCTCAAATTTGTAAAGAAGCCTTCGTATGGAAAGGCTTTTTTGGATGAATGCCCCCCAAATTTTTTTACAGCTGCCTAATCTAAAAAATGATATTTTGGGGGGTCGAAATGGCTTCTGCGTACCACTGACGTGATAAGAAAAGCTCAAAATGGATCATCTGGACCTCTACTGGCGCTACATCGCGTTTCCCACACAATGCCGCAACGTCTTAACGAAATATGATAAAAAAGAAACAAAGAAGGCATGCTGGTTACTGAACTTCTGAATACAAGTAATCGAGAGAGCAATTAAAGCATCTTTTAAAAATTTCATACAAAAATAAAGTTTTGATTAAAAGTTACAGCGCAACAAATTAGAGGAACGAACTTTTGGAACACCCTGTATATACCTCGTAGTTCCTTTTTGTTTATATATCGCATAGCAACGATGTTAAATGCTTATAGCCGCCAGTTCAACCGCCTGATGAGTGTGGTCATGTTTTGACCATACGAAACAGAACTGTAGCATTAAACGAATAAATGTCTTCTAAAGTATCGCATTTTCACCTTCACAAGCGGTCTTTTATTATCTATCCATAAATTTAAAGCTATTATAACAGGGAAATAATCGTATTGTGGGTTCAGACGCTAGCTTCATTTTCATTGGTTATCGGTTCACTCTAATTTCTATCAAAAGTTTGTAGTTTCAACTAATTGGTTTGTACTTAACAAGAACTCCGCCTTAAGGCTTGTGTAAATGTATGAGTTATTGCGGTTAATAAAGGTTCTGCGTTTGCCAAATACGGAGCAGTACTATACTTACCTAAGAGGGTAACTTGAAAATCTCTAGAATCTGTGCCAAATGAGTTACTGGCGAAACATGTGTACGTGGCCGTTTCATTGAGTCGAGAATTTACTGTGCTGTTTCCACTGGCCAAAAGATTGTTATCCTTAAACAATTTCACCTGAATGGGAGGCGTTCCTGCGGTGGTGCACGACAATAAATGTTCCTTTACTGTCTCAACGACTGGAAATGGCAGAGTTATTATAGGTTTGCCTGCAATAAATGGTTTTAAATGGAATGAATAAACCACATTGATCCTTTGATCATAACTAAAAGTACTGTGAATAAATTGGCTAGTTTCTACGAGGTCTTCATACAAAAAAATAAAATAAAAATAAAATGCGCTTATTTTGAGTGTTAATGTATTTAGCACGAAAGTGCTAATAGGCCATTTTTCAGTTATGGATGGAACCGAGGCTGGAGGTGACCTTGTTTCGATACAAACCTTCCTGCTTTATTATGTAAATCAAGTTGTTCTTATGCTAATTAATATTTTTCAAGGGCGATTTCCATAACAGAGCAAATGAGATTTGTATCAAAACAAGGTCAACCTCAGCCTCACATTCACTGGAAGGCAAGGTTACTAGGTCCGGACCGCCATTTTACGTGGTTATCCGAGCCACGCGAATGTCAAGCCGCTTGCAGTGCAAACTAATACCATCATTTCTCAGTTATTTTAGGACACTGAGTAATGGTCCGGCCCCAGGAATCGAACCCACGATCTCCCTCTCTGCGGTCAAGCGCCCTACCGACTGAGCTAATCCTCCCGCGGTTATACAACTACTACTACACCAATCCGTTTCGTTTTTTCTTTTCCATTTAAATGTTATAATCCAAGTAATGTTTAAACGTTTTTACTTGGTAAAGTTGCACAATAAAACCTGAAGGATTCTGGCAGATGCAGTGTAATGCCTTCTTTTTCTCTCAAGTGTTAATTACCGAGCTTACCCTTAGTGTTAAAAGATCAGTCTAACATACAATTGTTAAATCATATTGGAAATCTTCATTTATACTAACCTGTTTTAATGCTGGCAATGTATTTCCCCTCTAGAACAACAACCACGAGAAACCATAGGAAATGATATGAGGAGTTCATTTGTAGATTGTTTTTTTCTGTCGTTGAACAACTAAGAGGAGGATAAGAACTGAAATGGAACAAAATGATGAGCTACAATCGTGGACAAACGTCTTGGGACACCTTTGCATTTCTGGGGCGTTTTCCAATTCACACAGGTCCAACCCCTCCCCTCACCCCACAAACAATGTTGGACGCGTCTATCCAGAATTTTTTTCGAGTTTCAACTTTGTATAGGGTAGGGGGAGGGAGAACTTCGAGAAATTTTCAAAACGGATGCACTGTTTTAAGAGGGAACCGAGAAATGACAGAAAAATATGAATATTGCAGTACTGTCCCAAGGACTTTTGTGCAGGATTGTAGAAATATAAATGTGATAACCGTGATTTTTAACCAGTAAGAATACTTGGGAAAAGAAGAATGAGAGAACATCACAGCGATATGGAACCTTTTCTAGTTTGCTTTCTTTCCAATTTCAGTTTCAGGCATGATCAATCGTCCTTCCTAACATTGTTTACAGTAAACAACTGTTAAGAAAGCGAAGAATCAAGAGTTTAAAACAACCTTGATCTACTCAAGGAAGCTCGTATACATCGTTTTAAAACTGGAGTACAGTACATGCTTAACTGAAAAACTCAAGGGTAAAAAGTGAAATAATATAAAATAAAAAAATAAAAGAGTGAATAGTAAGAAAAGGAAATAAATGAAAGACAAAAACAAAAAAAAAACACAATTTGCCTCAGTTCGTTTTACTCGCCATTTTTCTTTTCAATCATTCTTTTTGTAAAGACACAGACTGCTTTTCCACAGCCGAGTGTTGGTTCTTAGGGAAGCGAAGTGATTCATTTTAGTGGGCCAAATCTTCAGTGATATATTTGGAGAAAAGATAGGGACATAGTGCGTAGATAGTAAGCTGGATGGTACAAACTGCGTGAACGCGTTACAGTAGACGAACTAGGACACAATAGACCATTTCCGAGTTGCCCCTATCCTCTGATTGAAAGCGAGGCTAAGTACGATTCATGACTTTTGGTTCTCATGTAAATAAAATGTATTTTCATGAGAAAGGTTTTGCACTTAGCCCCATTTTGAAAACGACATATTTTGGAACTCGAAAATGACCTACGTCAACGTTTGTTTCTTCTGTTGGTCAAAAACGATGTGTGAAAACATTTGTAAATAAAAGTTTGATGAACTACTACCTTGTGAAAGTGACTTATTAGCGGTCGATTGAAGTTCTTAAGTCAATAGACCTTTTTACCGATACGGCGGCCATATTGAATTAATTCGATTTAAGGAGTATTATAGGATGCCCAGGGTGCATGAGCACATTTCGTTTGTATTTTCGAGTGCTTTTAGGGACATTTTTTCGTAAAGTTTTGTTAGAATAAGATTGTAATGCGAAAAAAGATCCTTGTGCCGTGTTTGGATGTAATAATGATTGCCATTTTCCCGAGAAATATACAGTGAAAGACCATATTTCTAATACTAAACTAGAAAAAGACGATCTCAATTGTCAATTTTTGTTTCTGAGAAACATAAAATTGAAAAACAATTTTCAATGTTTTGAAAATCAAAAATTGAAAATGGAAAATGGTCACTTCGTGGTTTTTATTTCTTGTTTTTAAGGAAAAGGAAAACTAAACGATAATCTTCAATTTTGAGATTTTTGCCTGGTACCGAGGTTAAGATTGTATTTTCAATTTCCTATTTCCTAAATTCAAGCTTATTAAAAATTCAAACTTGACAAAGCAATTTCATGTGTAAAAAAACTACGGGAAACAGAATTATTGCTGATGAAATCCAAAATGAAAATCGTTTTTTGATTTTCCTATTTATGAAAAACAAAAATTGCCAACCGATTAAAAATACCTGTGACGGGAGGGGAGGGTAAAAGCGGAAGTGGCGCGACTGCAAACAAGATGGCGGTCGTCTTGCAGTGAAGGAGTGTTCCGTGTTGCGTGTCTTCGTCAAGCTGTCTCTAGCGGAAATGTTACGCCATCTTTTGAATGTGAAACATTGACAATACTCACACCGAAATGTACTAGTCATGGATATAATTATGTATGGTCCGCATTGATTTGGAAGAATTAGCATAACGTCAAAACAGTGAATGTTGTAACGCAGATTTTTGACCGGTTCGTAGGATTGATTTGTCTTGAAATTTCAAGGTGTTACAGTGAATCAATCTTAATGAAAGTTTCGGATATTTTAATATACATTATGAAGATTATGTTAAAAAAATTCGTTCGAGTCGTTTCGGAGATATACAAGAAAGCGCTAAAAGTCTAAATTCTGAATGAAGTTGCACTTATACAGGTGGTGAGAAAACGGGTTAGTTTTTAAGATCGCAAGAACGAGAGTACAGCAAAATTTCCTAGCATCAAAATATGATATTAAGCATCATTCTGACGCTACTTAAGAATAATTCGAGACATTTATAACGTTTTTATTAAATAATCTATCACGGCTTTCGAAAATTTCACGTTTGAAATATATTTTCGTTTTAGTCGAATTCAAACTACAGAATTTTTTTACTTCTTACGGAGGTTGTTTGCAAAACACCAAACTTAAAGTTCCTAGTGTTGGATTTTCAGTACCATGTCTAGATCACACAGAATTCGGTTTTTATCAATTTCAAAGCTTTTTGTTTATTGTTGTCATAGTAATATAGATTTTACTTAAAACTACATTCTCATAAAAGTCAATCCATAGCCAATTACTGGTGAAAATTTTATAGCGATCGGACAAGGAAAAAAACACTTTTAAGGCGATTGAAAAATATCGGTATGGCCTCTAAAAAACTGTATCGAAACACCTTACAGCTTATTTCGCTTTTCTGAGAAGCCTACTTCAAAGACTAAGTACTTAGTCATACTTCGGTACTCCTTAGGTATTATTGCTTCGTTATTTAACCGAAAACTCAAAGGATTTGGATACCTTATAATCATGGCTGCAGACAAGAAAGCCTCGTAAGAGAGCTTATTTAAGCTTATGGAAGTTTCAGTTTCAATAAGTGATTGTCAAGTCTTAATTTCACGAGTACCTATTAAAAAAAATATTTGTATCTTTTGGCTTATCTGCCAGGGATGTTCTTAACAACTTGTTTCGCTTTGAGAATAAAATTTTTGTAATTTACCAGCGCTGGCCAAGCGAACGTTCATTTAAATGTATTAAAGTTGTGTGAAATTTATATTAGTTCAATTCCGACAGATTTAGACTAAATGTTCAATCCCGTCGCAAATCGTTCCTTGGTAGCATCTTATAACATCAGGGATTTGTAAAGCCCGTGCAAGCCGTGGGATGTCAGCTTTCTTGAAACGAAATTCTGTCAGACATTCATCTTCGTTGAAATTTTGAAGGTCGAACTCGGGATACAAATGATATGGCAAATAAAGGTTTTCTGAGCTATATGAATTATATAACAACAGAAATTCAGCATCATTTATAAAATTCATGCCATAAGAAAGCACCGCAAGGTCTGTTATTTCTTTAAACGAAACCATTGAAGAGAAATCAACCAAAACCTAGACGGGAGAGCTAGTCCTGTCGTCCGAGTTTGTTTACGTTTTGTGTCGGTTGTGACGCTGCTGTCCCGAGCGTAACTTAACTATTTTGAGTTTTGGCGGGAGACTGCGTAGTCGCCCCAGCCCTTCCCGGTTACAACAGCCGTTGTAGAGCTATGCCGTAGTGAATCTTAAAGTCGCTAATGAAAGACAGACGGCGGACTGCGGACTGAGGACCACAGACAGCGGACTGGGTATATGTAAAACGGACGAGGAAAATACGAACTACGTACTATGTCTTAGTGTAATGATAATTAGTGAACTTACGCAACAGGACGGGAGAGGAAAGAAGACGTCAAACCTTGTGTGATAAGAGTGACAATAATTTTGTTTGAAAAAACTTTCCGTCAAACATCACCTTTCCACAGGTCTTTCTGTAAAAGACCAAACAAAGTTAATGTGAAGCGAAGATCACGACAAAACACGCAATTAATAGCCCTGTCACGTTTGTCACACACAAGCCGTCTGGCGTCCTCTTCTTTCTGTCGTCCTGTTGCGGAAACTTACTTTTGTCACTGGACCCTAACCGTGTATAACTCCTTTGTTGTTGTTAAAGTGAAGGGATTTAGGCTTTAACAATCAATGGTAGCCGCAGAGTCTTGATAAGAACTGTTAAAATAAACTTTAATAGCAGGAGCGGTTTTGGAAATCTAAGATGAACCGTACCGATTGTATCCGAAACAGCCACAAAAGTGATATCAACTATAAACGCTCTGTTCACAAACGGGCATATTGCTCAAATGACTTACCAGTGGCTCCGTTTTGGCCAAAATCACCAAAAACACCAGCGTTTTACACGCTGACCAAAAAACATAAAACTATTCCTGCCAGCAGATCACTGAATCGTCTCTGGTAGCGATGGTCCCAAAGAACGCATTTCTAGTTTTGTGGACTCGCTTTTACCAGGCCAATCGCGCAAAAACAAGAGTCTTACATCGAGGACACTGCACACAAAAGTGATATCATTGAAAACACGCCTCTTGCAGATGAAGCAATTTAAGCTACGTTAAACGTGTGTTCTCTCTGCACTAGCATTTCCCAGGAAGAGGGAATCGACATCGTCTATCACCATTACGAAGAGCATTATCAGTCAAAGTTACGTATCCTTACTTCATATTTGGGAGACGTAATGCGGGTGATCTTAACAGAAAACTAATTCAAATTCACCGACAAACACTATGTACAGACTCACGGCATTACAATGGCCACCAAAATGGCGGTTGCTTTCTTGGTCATTTTCGTGGCTCACGTTGAGAAACAACTACTACATGCGAGCCCTTACAGCCATTTCTCCGGCTGGAAGAAATTTATTGATGACATCTTCTCAGTGTGGACTCTTCCTGAGACTGAAATCAACAACTTTATTGATTTCGCGAACTCTTTCCACACAACCATAAAATTTACACTGACGAACTGTCATCAAAACAGATTGTTTTCCTTGACCACTGAAGTTTTTAAAGGACCAAGATTCATTCGATCCAAGCACATTATTTAAGTCGACAGAAACGTTTTAATATGCGAATTTCTCCTCATTTTACCCTCTCATCGTTAAAAAGGGCTTCGTATATAAAATAGCCTTGCACTTACTCAGAACGAACTCGGTTAAGGAATAATTCCCGATAAATGGAGTTAAAGAAGAAAGAGTTTTTAACTCGCCTTGCAGAACGAGGCTACCCTCACGACCTTGTGGAAACAATCCTAGCCGAACTCCTCTTCGAATCGTGCAAGGCAGCTTTATAAAATAAACCCAAAACAAAAGATTTTGCCGTTTGTAACGACTTTCTATCCTGCAACTCCGAATCTCAAAAAGATTCTAATGAAACACAGCTGGCACCTTATTGCGGGCAAAAACACACTCGTGCAAATATATCCCCACGCCCCCATTGGTTCTTATCGGAAGGAAAAGTCTTTAAAAGATTTTCTTGTTAGAGCCAAAATTCCTTCACTTTAACAACAACATATTAGGATTTATACACGGTTAGGGTCGAGTGACAATATAATTCGACTGAAAAATAGCTCGTAGTTTGCATTTTATACCTGGTCCGTCTTTTATATATACCTAGTCCGCAGTCCTCGGTCCGCCGTCCGCAGTCCACAGTCCCTCGTTTATGCTTCCTAGCTGATCTGAAACGCTCTACCCTGCGTAACGTAATGCTGTAAGGTTACAACAACAGCTTAATTACCAGTGAAAAAACATTCAGTTCATTTCTTGGAAAACGTCTCAGCCATGATACAGGCAGACTTTGGATTGCTGTTGGCGTAACATTTCCGCTAGAGAAAGCTCGACGAAGACACGGAACACTTCTTCACTACAAGGCGACTGCCATCTTGTTTGCAGTCGCGCCACTTCCAGTTTTACCCCCCGTCACAGATATTTTTGGCCTGTTGGCAATTTGTTTTATATATATATAAATACAAAGATCAAAAAGCGATTTTCATTTTGTATTTCATCAGCTTTAATACTGTTTCGCGCATTTTCATTACACTTGAATAGCTTTGTTCAGTTTGAACTTTTTAATAATCATGAATCTAGGGAAGAAGAAAGTGAAAACAACAAGTTAAAACCACTAACTGGCCATTTTCAATTTTTGATTTTAAAAATGTTGAAAAATGAGTTTTATTTTTATTTTTCTTAGAAACAAAAATTGAAAATTAAGATTGTAAATTTTTGATTTTCAATGTTTGAGCAATCAAAAATTGAAAATCACGATTGTGAAGTTTTGATTTTCAATTTTCAATATTGAATGAAAATCAAATGGACAAAAACCACACGGACCCCGGGTCTCAAGGCCATTTTAGCATTCGTTGCATAACTTTTTTTTTTTTTTCGGAAATACATTGTATACCTTCGAAATTAAATTGTTTTGTACACAAAGGACAACGTACTATTTCCTCAAATCATTTTAGCAGGGTCTGTAAGAGCTGCCAGGTGCATTTGGGCTCGAAAAATAGTTTGCCTTCAGTAGCTTAGTGAATCATCTTAGTTCATAAGTAAATTAAACGACTTTAGCGTTGGGAAATATTTCAAAATACTGATTTTAAACTGTCAAACTGCCGAATGCCATAAATTTGCGTCTAGCGAAATCCAAAAATTGGACAAATTACTAAACTCGCTTCTCTCAAATCCACAAAAAGCGAGAAAAAATGATTATCATTTATAGGTTACGGTGTTTATGAACAGTGTGAATAGCATGTGAATTTTGAGTTTTGTTGAACTTTGTGTACAGAATAATTAATTTACTGGTATCTATATGAGAGACCATTTTGAAAGCGCAGCAAAGTACTCTATCTTCGCTGGTAATTATTTTGTAAGTCCAGACCTGGCTGCTCTGATTCTCTATTTAAATCAACTAAGGAGATGCTTACAAGTATAGAAATATAAAAATACCTTTTGCTTTTGATCTTCCTTTAACGCAGAGACTTTGAACTTTTCGTGTATTTGAACACACGACGGCCGTCAATAGGGACTTTACACAGTGACGACGGGAAGCTTAGACAATATGTGTAAGGTCCGTGGGTCATTCGTCCATTTAATTTTTAATTTAAAATTAAAAATTGAAAATCGATTTCAATTTTTGATTTTCCAATATTTTTCTTCCTGCATAAACAGGTTTCATAATTGTTTTACCGTTTTCCCCTGTAAACAAAAATGAGAAAATAAACACACAGCTCTTACTTTCTACAAACAATATTAAAACGGTTGTCGAACCATAGATATTTTAGCTATTCGCGGTAAAACCGTTTCCGCAGTCATCTGTCAACTACTATGACGTGAATTAAGAAAAGAAAATTAAAAATTGAATGTTACGATTAATTTTCAATTTTTGTTTTTGGACGAAGAATTGATCAATCGATCATGCTCTAAGTGACGAAAGTACCAAGAGGGGAGGATCCAAGTGCAGAAGTGTCCAGTAGGGGAGGGGAGGGAAGAGTGGAAGGGACTGAGGTGGGGGAGTAAGGGCCTTGTACTTGTCCAAGCTACGTGCTACCCGACCCGAGTCAGTTGAAAACAAAGACGCCATCTTAAATTGCAAATGGGACACTATAGGGACGGGGGTCAGGGTTGAGTTCTCTCTTTGTTGAACCGCCGCTGTAACATCAAAACTAAGAAATTCCCAACCTCCTTTGTTGAAAGTAGAGAAATCGTACTTAAGCTTATGTTTTTTAAAATAATGTACATTTACTAGGTTTTATTTTTGACTAAAATAAATATTTGACTTTGGGCTCCCCTCTGTGTCTTATTACTTTGACAACACCCATTGTTTTTCGCGCGCTTTTGTACCTGTCTTTTTCGTCAAGGTTGTGTTTCGGACGAATCTTCTCTCTGTTGATGGTCAGGTCTCCCTTTGTTGAATTCGTTTGTTGTACTTTTACGTCGGTCCATTTAGTATGGCATCTCTTAGGAGTTTCGATTTAAGTCGAGAAGGAAAACAGCTACGAATTCGAATGAATTCGGGCGACATAAATGTAGCTCGACTTTCGCGAGCTTTTCAGTCAGGTAAGTAAACACAACCTCGAACCATCTAATTCCTTAATATTTAAGCTTTGAACATCTCTTTAATGTAAAAATCCTACGTTTCAGGTTAAAGCGAACTCGCTATATCTCAAAGAAGAATTTGGAGATATGGCCTTTTGGCCAAATGATGCAGGCCGGTTTAATATCGGTCACCTAATGGATGGAACCTCAATGCAAGTTATGGGGGAATTTGTGCAGCCCCCCTCGTCATATTCCCCACAAATTGCAGAGCAGCACTCTGGACACCTCAGTGAAGTATTCTCATATGGGGTCAATCCTGGAAGCTCTTCAAGGCCTGCACTCTTTGGTGGAAATAAACGGAAAGGTGGTGTCCTTGTGAAGGTTATTCATGCAGAAATGACCCAGAATGGTAAAGGATCCCTATCTTTCAGTGAGCTCGGGCAGACATACCTTAACATCAATGTAGATACAGCCAATGTCTACTATATTCTATCCAAGGCAAGAGATGCCTTCAATGATCCCTCTTTAGAGTTGGTGTCTAGTAATGGTCTGAGGATAATGGACAACGAAGGCACTAAAGGTTACTAGTAATATAATTTATTTGCATTGTTGTCTTTACCATCGCATAACATATATAGGTCTTGATATATCCATAGGTCTTGAATATCCACACATAATCATTGGGGTATATTATCAGTAACATTTTATTACTGTTTCGAAAATCATAAATATACAGCTGAATATTCTTCAAAGTTCTTCTATGCAATGTCACTTTTGTCCTTTCAGTGTACTGCGAGTTCAGTCGAAATATTAGACCCAGGGCACTGGGAAAATATTGGTCCATTTAGTCTATTGTTTGAACTTTGTGAAGTCATTGATCTTCATCGTCATCAACATTGTATTAACTTGTGTCTGTGTTTTTTGTACTGTAGGTTTGTCTTTTTGGAAGTGTGGAAGCAGAAAAATTTATGCTGTGAGGGTCACTACACATGTTCCTTTAAAGAGATCAGCCAAGTCAAAGGCAAAAGCAAGTTATTGTTCATGTTATGACATTTCTGATGACAGTGATGAAGACTTCACTCCCTAGAAGACTAGAGGTGATAACCATGGAGATATTCAAATTGTAAATTCTCAAATCAATGACGTCAAATCAATGGTCAGTGACATATTGAAAGTAAACCAAATTTTGTCCTTGCCACTCGGGGTAGTCAAACTTCTAAGAGATGCCTTCACATGCAGAATCTGTCTCTCCACACCTATGAAACCCCCAGTAATTGCATCAAAGTGTTGTAACAGCTTAATTGGCTGTGAGAAATGTGCTAATCATTGGTATGATGGGGCTGACGGACTTGGTAAGAAGTGTCCACATTGCAATGAACCAAGAGGATATGCCTCTACCTTTCAGTTTAAAGGCTTAGATGAGTTTTTAGTTGGGGTAAGGAAGTTGATCAAATCTGATGAAAGTAATGCCAGTGATTAATGATGGAAAAGAGAAATAATCTACATTAATGAAAATACTGGCTTTTCAGTTTTGTGACTTTTAATTGTGTTTTTTCAGCTTTGAACCATTTAATAGGTGAATTCAAGAAGTTTAATGTTAAAGATGATTTTGTTTGATCATGTTGATATTTGGTAAGGTAGGAAACTGTTGTAAATTTGAACATTTTATTTCACATCTTAATTCAAGTAAAACAACAAAAAGATATTTTCACATAGTTGCATGAATGGTTTTGAAAATCATAATTTACCATTTCTACTGAGCAGATGTAATAAGTATTCAATTTCATGAAAATAAACAGAGATATATTGAAATCATTAAATAGTGTGGTTGTTCTAACAGTTAGTTTGGATTATAGCGGGGCTCCCACGCGCGCTTCGCGCGCGTGGGACAGAGCCCCATACCCATAGATTATGGTCAACCTCTTTTCCTTTGGTTGTCACGTGATTGACCGAGCGTACGTACGTACGTACGCGTCTACGGATTGCACGGGTGGGGTAGGGGAGACTATGAAAAGGAAGGGAGGGGTGTCTCAGGCGTGTCTTGCCACGTCCACATCTTTTACATTGGTCATTCACAATATGGTCAATATACAGCTGTCAAAACAGGATAGCCACTGACCAGTATCCCATTACCATATCGCGGGCTCATGTGTCAACTCATTGAGGTGACGTGATTTATTTGGAAGCTGTCCGCTGACCAGTTGATTATTTTACTAGATCGCGATCAATGTTCAGTCTCATACTTTCTAGCTAGTTTGGGATCGGAGCACAGGAAAACTGATACACGTCAATGTTGTGATCCATTGACAGCTGTCAAAACAAGGTATCCGCTGACCAGTATCACTTGACTGTATCGCGGGCTCAGGTGTCGACCCATCGAGGTCAAGTTTTTTTGAAGTTATCCGCTGAGAAGGTACTGGTTTTCAAATGATCGCAGGCTCAAGTTTAATTTTTTTTAAAATTCATATGAAATATGTTGTGTTTATGTGCTGCACAATTAAAATTTTGATTTCAAACTGACCTCGGACGCGAAAATTCAGCCAGCTGCTACAGGCAGGGAAGACAGTTGCTTTTGACTTTTCTCGCCATGTTCACGCGTTGGTCACGCTCTTCGTCCAATTATTATGCCCTGATTGGTCAAAATTTGACAGGTGAGTCCATGCGGAAAATTTATGCAGCATCTTGAATCTTGTTTACTTTGACAGCTGAAGCTGACAGAGTTTTGTGTCAACTTGTGATGTTTTTAACTTTCTTTTTCCACTGGACGTACAAAATGAAATTCAGCTGCTATCAGGAGCCTTCTGTTATTCATGGCTAGTTTGTTGATTGGGTTTTTGGTTGAGTCAAAGTCGGAAATCCGATTTCGGATGGCATCGTTTTCGTTTTCATCTTGCTTAATGCGTAAGAGGTTTGCAAAGTCTGAAGCCATACTGGCCTTACTTGACACCTTTCAGGAGCTGCATCTCGAGTGGTAAGCCTAAGTAATTATTGTATTTGATGTTTGTTTTTTATTACTAATTTAATGAAGTCGAGCGTAGTTGATGCGGCTCTTTTGTTTACGCACGTTTGTAAGATTTGAGACAATGATCTGACCGAGTGTCAGGTTTGTTATAAGCTTACAGATCTTTAAAAAGCCTTTAGACATTTTCTCACCGCAAATAGAAAGAAAGCGTTTCAAAGAATATTTAGTTATAATTCTGGCTGTAAAAGAAAGGTTTGAGCGATTTTCTTGCCTCGAGTTCGTCTTTGAAAAAAGCAAACACCGGCAAGCCGGCTTAAAACATAAACTTCAGCTTTAAGCTCGAAGACTCAGGATTTTTAGAGACACTTTAATACTTGTCTTCCTGAATGAAAATTGTCGTCTCTGTATAAGTTTTACCGAATTATATTTGTTTTATTGATTGTTAGTACTCTCTCTTGTAATTTTAATCGTTGTGCCGATTGTTTTCAGTCGTTCAGTAAACGACGCTTCCCGGAGTACTCAAAATGCCGCGCGTTAAACCGTTTTAAATAAAAAATAAACATAATAAATTCTTTATTATGTTGGAGCGTAACTCTGTTAATGTTCATTCAAACACTCGCCACTGCTAGCACTGTAAAAGTCAGAACAAGTCAGTTAGATGATTTTGAAAATTCTTTCAACGGTTTACGGCTAAAGCCCACGCGTGCTTCGATCGTCCTGAACAGCAATTTGTATTGCAATATTGTGAAATACTGCATTCTGTTGTCCGAGGTCTGTATGATAAAAACAGTGCCTCATAGTACTGTTTCACCTCAGATGTGATGTATAAATGATATAAAAGGTTGGTTTACACGCACCCAGATTTGTTGGCAAGATTTTGTAAAACAAACTTGTCGAACGCAAAAAATTCGGCCGGAATTTTTTTCCAGGCCTAATTAATCTATGGTGATGAAGAGCCATTATGGCTCTTAATAAATGTGATCGAAGATGATTGCCAGTTTTTGGGTGTACTTATGAGGCTATCAACTCGATGTGAGATTTGGTTCACTCTTGGGCTGTTTGCAAATTATTTTTTTATAAAATCACTTAGCCTTTCCCTGAAAAGTCACACGAATTGCTCTAAAGTTAACTGAATTGTGGAATACAAGTTTATTGTTTGATTTAAATTATAAATTTATTAATGGGAGCCTCGCTTTTAGCCCTGGCTAAATCTATATATTACGTTGTAGTCAGATCAATGAAATTCATTAGGCCCTCTCTAAATGGGTGATGATCACCATTCACAAGGCAATAGAAAATGACCTCGAAACTAGGGTAAGCAGCATTAAAGTTATCAAAACGCAATTGCTGGAGCTGTTCGTTCCCAGCTAGGATATCAGTTCCAAACACTTCTGAAGATCTAAGATTGCCACCATTCCTTTCATAAGCTGATACACCTTCTTCACCAGAGGGAAGCATGTGGAACGATAAATGTCTTCTTATTTTCCTCCATTCTTTTACCTGGAACTCCCTTCCCTGTTACAATAGAAAGACTGATGTTCAAGGGGAAAGATGTCTCTTGACAATAAAAACAATAATTATTAAGATATTCAGTTTTTTACAATTTTGACTATTGGTGTAGCACTGCCACACTCAGAAAGTTAATTATTCTAACAGATGACTATCGAGTAATTTAATTTACCTGAGAATGTGGTGTTTTTTAAGAGATCCCTCCTTAATTCTCGTTACCTGTAATATTTAACTTGGCAGTTATTAAAACTCCTGGTACAGTTGAAAACTAGGGATTAATATCGATTTTCCATAGGCTGGGTTTACTGAACCACCACCACCTCAATAAACTCTTACCAGGGATAGCATGGTTGTTCCAGCTGGAAATAACTTGTTTGATTCCAATGTCTGCTACCCTGGAGGTAAGCCATGATACACAGAACTTGTTCATGTCATCATCCATATTTATTGGGTCTTCATTCACCATAGCATTTAGAGCTCGTTTAATAGGGTAGTTGACACGGGAGTTAAAGTCTACCCATTTTCTCGCAGTAGGATGATTCTTGAAATGAGGAAAATATTAATAAATGATAATAATAAATTTAATGATTAATAGTTATCATAATAATTATAATAATAATAATAATAATGGTGACATGTTCACTAAACAAACACCTGCTTCGAAGTTGTTTGTATAAATGGTGCCCTTCTTGTATTGGTCCTATACGGGGACATTTTTTGTTGTACATACAAAGAGAGATAGAACTCTGTTCCATGGTCTACTCTGAGTTGATCCCAAATGCCATGCTGAATGACCGCAGTTCTTCAAAGAGAGAAGCAAATATAATTATCAATTATTCGCCGACGGTGAAGTTAATATTGTTGAATAATCCCCTCGACTTCGTCAATATATATTAACTGAGCCTGAGGTGAATAATTGTTTTAGTATATTCACACGAAGTGATCTCAACAGAATCAGAAAGGAAACCATTAAAAAACGATTAGTTTGATTGACAGGTGAATTCATGCGTGAACACGAAGCCGTAAACTGAGGGGGGGGTACATAATAGGGAGGAGGGAGAAATGGCCCGAAAAAGTAGGGAGGAGGGAGAAATCGGGGCGAAAATGTAGGGAGGAGGGAGAAAATGAAATGTTGGGCGTAGGGAGATTACAATGAGAAGGCAATTTTATGGCTTTTCTTTAACTTGCTTCATGACAAGGCCGGATGGGCGGACAGAGAAAATGGCGTACACTACAATCCCCTTTGGTCTCCTGGGACTCCCTTGGTCGGACTTAACCAAGAAAGCATGGGATCAAACTTTGACGCATCTCAGGTTACCAGGTTTAAAACTTGGTGACGACAGTCGCAACACACAACTCCTGCACTTAGTTGTAAAGGAAGTTCTCTCTCCGTCAGAGCTTCGCTCTAACTAATAGCTGGTCCTTAAAGGATTTTACCTTGCGATACGATATTCCTTAAAGATTTCGCTAAGCCGCCGTTGGTTTTGTATAAGGCGGATTTTCCCATAATATCTTCTTCAGTCTAAGTAAAGCAGCTATTTTGTAACAAATGGTAGTGTTTTTTTACGTGCAGATTTGTAGCTCTGTTGAAGGGCTGTTTTCCTGTTGGTGAATTT